AAATTACTGCAGATTTCTCATATAACCTCCTGACATACATCCTTTCCATGTGAACCCTACTCACCAAGTGACCACATCCATCTCCCTACAAACGCACCTTTGACCCCCTTGATACACCTACTAAGTGGGAAAAAAGAGTGTAAACGTGAACGCTACAAGTACGCTATCCCTACCCATCCTCAGCCAAGGCGTCTTGACCCGACGTCCATAACCCCAAACTCCTCAAATTCAGGGGCTTTAGGAAGGACCCTTAATGGGGACCCTTGTAGCTTACTGGGGGTAATATGGGTACTACTTGGCTATATAGGGGGTAAATCAGGCCTATATAAGGGTTATATAAGGTAATGGGATTAGGGGTCCCTTCTAGGGGTCCCTCCTAACAACCCTTGATCAAAGCGAACAGGCAGCACCAGCTTGAACCTAGAACCTCCAATCTCCCAAACCCTAAACCCTCGACCCTAAACCCTAAACCGTAATCCCAGGCCCGAAACCCTGAACTTTGTGAAGCACAGCAACAGCCAGACAAAGCTCAAAATCCTCCCCCAAAAGCCCCGCCTAACGTGCGAAAACTTAGGATTTAGGGTTGAGGGTTCAGGGTTTGGGGTTTGAGATTTGGTTTAGGGTTTAGGGTTTGGGGTTTAGGGTTGGGGCTCCTGAATCCCTTCGGGGGAGAGCGGCCCCTTTTTGCAGCTCTATGAACAACCTTTGCCCCCAAAACAGACGAGTATACATATGAGCTATAGTCTAAATTAAAGGGGGTATATATATGTATAGAGGTTTATATTACAGGGGAGTATTATAGGGGGAGACTAGGAGTTTAGACTATAGCTCAAATGCACATGTAAGTAAGATCCCCCTCAACTGGCTTCTGTAACTTGAACCATAAAAACCATAAACAGCTAGAACATCTCACTTCCCATCTCAATCTCCATGGCCTTGGCCGTTTGGCTATCCATGATTTGCAAGGATTCCTAAATATCCGCCCAGACCCCCTGAAGGATCCCAAAAATGCAATCCCGAAACATGATCCCCTCCTTACACTCTGGGAACTAGGGGGTTCTTGGGAGGTTATACCCCACACCCTAAAACCTAAGACCTAATACCCCACACCCCAAACCCTAAACCCTAATACCCCAGTTCCCTAAACCCTAAAACCCTAATACCGCATACCCTGAACCCTAAATCCTAATACCCTAAACCCCTCAAAGATGCACTTCAAAGTTCCCAAAATCAATTATAAGCCTTGACAGCGACCCATGCGACTACCAGAAGCAGCCGCAGCCGTGCCCACACCATGGCTTAAGGTAGGGTTTAGGGTTAGGGTTTAGGGTTTAAAGTTACACTCCAATGTGGTTCCTTTTTGGGTTTCGTATGGTTTTTGGTTAGGACTCTTATTAGGACTACCAAAAAGGTACTACAGTGGAGGGCCTTAGGGCTTCCGGTCCTGTCTTTTCAAGGTCTCGGGTTCAAGTTTGAGGTTTTAGGGTTTAGGGGTTAGGGGTTTTAATTTTGGGATTTGGGGTTTAGGGGTTAGGGGGTAGGCTTTGGGGGTTAGGGAGTTAGGGATGTGGCATTGAGCTTTCCGGCTGGTGGACGCGGTCTCAGGTCTGAGGGTATAGAGTTTTAGGCTCAGGTGCTTAGGGTTATAGTCTCCCATAAGTAGATAGAATATGGTTTTGGGTAAATGATAATAAGATCCCCATATACCCCATATTCTATCTACTTAAGGGGGACTATACCCTAAACCCTAACCCCTAATAGTAGTTTCCATTTCCTTTTCCATTATCCCTATATAACCTCAATATAACCCTAAACCCTGAACCCTAAACCCTAAACCCTAAACCCTAAATCCTAAACCCTAAATCCTAAACCCTAAATCCTAAACCCTAAACCCTAAACTCTAATATTCTATCTACTTAAGGAGGACTGTAAGTGTTGCGAGATGAAGTTTGGGCTTGGGTGGGTTGGAAGGTGTGGGTGTGGAGTGTAGGCTTTTCGGTCTGTATGCAGGCTTGAAGGTTTTGGGTTGAAGTCGGGCTTAGGGTTGAGGGTTTAGGGTTTAGGGGTTTATGGTTTAGGGTCAAGTGTGTGGAGTTTATGGTTTAGGTCTTGGGGTTTAGGGGGTTCAGGGGGGTTGGTCTCATGAATTCAGACTTCAAGCGGCCTGTGCCTTCGGTGCCCACGCAAAGGGAAGATTCATGACGCAAGCTCCTCATGCATGGATCACGTTGGATGACTTGAAACTTGCCGGGTAAAGGTGACCGGGGTCCGAGCGCGATACAATGTAAAGCGGGCATGCCATTTCTTATCGGAGGTACGTGATCTAAAAACACCGCTCTCGCAGAAAAAACGGTCAAACTGCGCAAGAAAATTGAGGAGATTGTCAACCAGCATCCTGTGCATTACCACACCTACAGTACCACTTGGATGTGAACATGCCTCCGCATGCCAACTCCCTGCATCTTCGTCATAATACCAAGACCCATACCACACAAATGATGGACATAACCCCAAATAAGCGTGCCTGTTTCGCTTCTCAGCAGGAGTTGTGGTCCATCTGAAGTTCAGGAAAGATAGAATCATTGAAGGTCTCATCCTCCTGTGTGTAGGTCCTACTATCCCTACTGCATCAAGGACCATGCATCACCCGTGCCCTGTTTCCTTATTGTGCCTACATCAATCACTTCAAACCAAGCCGAATTGCTGGGTTGTGGTTAAGGAACGTAATTTAAGTTACTATATGGGGGAAACCACATTAATTACTATATATATATACACATATTACCCATTGTGGTAACTCAATTTAAATTCCCCGACAGCAACCCAATGAAGCGAGGCAGGATTGCATTGACCCCATTGCAAAATTCAACACTTCTGTGTTGAAGGAGAAAAAAGGGTGGCCAACCCAGTATACTATACTGCCTATCACCGGACTGCCAAAAAGGGGCCCCAACTTTTTGCAAACCCCTATATGAGCCGTACTCTAAAGTCCGGGTATGCTCCTCAATACCCCCTATAAAAGTCCCCCAGAATATCCCCTATATAACCCTCTTCAAGGAGTTTAGACTTTAGCTCATATGGACCCTCAACCTGCCACGCACCCAGCTTTTTGTCGCTCGTGCAGCTTCGCATGATCGAGGCCTCACACCTGGCAAGCGAAATCAGGCTTTCGGTGTAGGGTTTTGGGTTTTAGGTGTTGGGTTTTGGGTTCAGGGTTTATGGGTTTAGGGTTTAGGGTTAGATGGGTTTAGGGTTTAGGGGGGTGTACTCTTGATGGAGGGAACCCTGCGCCACCTCAAATCCCTGAAATCCTCGGAATTACAATGCTTTAGGGGTCCTAAGCGGTGCAAGATGTCCTCCATCCATCCTAAACCTGAAACCTTAAACAATCAATTATGATGGCTTCGGTGTGGCTTCATGTCTAGCTAGACAGGGATTACAATTAGACAGGGATTACAATGGGTAGCCCACCACAGATTCCAGCGGCCGTTGTGTTGCTGGCTGCTAGTAGGGCATGAAGGAAGTATTCAGCGTTCAGGGTTTTAGGGCTAGGGGCTCGAAAAGGAAAAGGAAATCATTATTTAGGGTTAGGGTTTAAGGGTTGGGGGAATGGAAGAGAAAATGCAAACTACCTCAGCGTTGGGGATGTTTAAGCGGGCTGCTATAGGGATCCATTCCAGGGTTTTTTCAACTCGTAAGCTATTACATCACTATGGGACATCAGTACCCAGACCCCCAAAAGGATCTAAAAATTAGATCCCGTAAAACCATAGAGGAAAATATGAGGATTATATAGGGGTTAATAATGGGTCTATATGGGTGGTTGTCAAA